ATATGGTGAGAGATCCTGTTAAATAAGAAGAAGGCAGATGAATGCAATGCTTGGGTAACGTATAACAGAAAAATGGCACTGGAGTTTCAATTGCAGCTCGCGATGACTGAAATTTCTGCCAGGAACTGTTTAGACGAGAGTGGCCACTCCTTATCGGCAAAGTCAGTCGCACGAGTCCAAAAAACATCAGCGAGGAAAAACTGATGATAGTGCACCTACTGAACGTGGTTAAAATTTGCGGTTCTTCATTTGTTGGATCCTTTTTTTTTAAACGACACATTTTATGAAGCAAAGTCAGTACAATCTGTAACACTTCATGCTTCGCGGTAAAGATTGCACGATGATTGCAGGGGAATGCGCGCCTTTTAAAAAACGAGGTTAAGAAACAAAAACTGCGGAGGATAAAATTGTTATTTCCGTACAGTTTTAAGTCACTTTCCCAAAAGTTTGTTGGTCTGTTCCATTTACTCCCTATTTAGATTTTTTAAATTCAAGTTATTTTTCTCTTTTTAGGTGTATTAGCTGAATGTCCTATGACATCTACAGATCTATGCCTATGACACCGTAATGTTTTTTTGAACTATATTTGTGTTTGCAAATTGTACCTTTTGTGTTGCATCCCCCAGCCTCCACACTTGCTTCATCGGTTCGGAACATTCATGACAACTGACCGTCTCGAGCAACGTTTGAGGTAGAAGGAAGATTGAGGATGTCGTTTGTTCGGGAGCTGGAGATAACGAAGAACCTCGTCCCATCTCCAGCATTAAACCCATCCTCCAATTCAAAGTCAAATTTACAGTCAATTCCATACATTTATGGTAAGATCTTCATCATTGTGTAATATTTCGGTCACAGCTGCAGATAGAGGAAAGGGTTAAACTCTGCGGATCTATGAGTAATCTTTTCCAAGCGAGCTCAGTGCATGAATAAGTACCTTTCTCTTGGGCGACGTTTTAACCTTTTTTAGAGTCACAACAATGAAGGTGTCATGTTTATAGTTCATTGAATTAAGTCGTTCCAAAGATATTTGAGTATTCCATTAGCCATATGTTCTTTAGTAAAAAGATTTTTGAGAGGAGCAGACTCTCATTTAAGATATGGCACGAGTATGAGGCCCTTGAGATTCGAACTGGCGAGCAAAATGGGCGTGAAAGAGGTCTGAGAGGGGTCTTATTTTAAGGGCAGAATCCTCCCAGACTCTTTGCAAACGGGTGGGCTCGAAACCTGCGGGCTTTGCCGCTCCCGTCGTAGCACTCTTGTGCACCCGCAGGCTACACGGATTATTTAAGCGTTTCGCGAGGAAAATTCAGTCATTCTAAATCGGTCAATGTAATTTTGTTTTACAACTCTCTGTAAAATATCAATGCTTTCATTGAGTTTTCTGTGTGATTAGTAGTGTAACTAGGTTTATTTTAGTTACCCTTTTCTCAGGGTATAGTGCTGCTGCATTAGATGAGGAATACGTATCCACATATTTTTTGGCCACTTCTAGAGAGTGGTTTTTCTAGTGGTTTTTTCGTATCTGGCGTAGCACAGCCTATTTTTGTATAACCCTTCAGTTTCAGTGAATACTTGCAGTACATTGCAGATTGTTGAAGCATGTTTAGACTACAAGACTGGCTGACTCGTCCTAAATAAACTTTCACATTGAATATCTCGCCTGCGTGTAGTCAGAATAGTTATCTTTCATTATTACCTTGTTATTAAATTCTCCTTCAGCTCCATAGAATGAAACTCTGTCGCAGGTCGCTATGAAAATCCACGAGGCTTAGAATTTCTGGTGATCTACGAATCCTCGTCGAACATCCTTTGTAGCTCGGTCTAGCAATACAGGGTCAATAGAATCGCTGTATAATACAGTTCCTCTTTTTCTGGTGTCCACGTTACCCCAAAAAGGCGAAATAACGCGTCGGTTGTCCCCCAATGGGAATGGAGCTGGGTTGTATTGACCCACTGCACCCAGAAGTAAGATGACTCCATTTTTGTTCACCTGAAATCACACACGCACAGAAAAGATAAATCAGAAATGAAAATTCTGAAGTCGATAATCTTCTGGGAAGTTCAGTCGTGTAAAACATGATTCTTCACAATTTCCCCTGGTAAATTATTTCATTTTACAATACATGAGTTTAATCATCTTGGGACTCTTGTCCCTCAAAGAAAGTTGAATTTTACGCGCTTTGTAAGCCTTACCAATACATAGTTTTACCAACATTGTTCAAGGGCCAGGGGAGTGGATGTTCTGTGTGCACGCCTGACCTAGTCATCATTTCGTAAATAATTTTATTGATGAGGGTTAATGCTACTGTAACAATAAGTATGAACACAAAGTGTGAAAGATTACGGAGAAGTACTAGAGCAGTGGGAGACCAGCTGCCAATATTTTTCGGGTAATTAAATTGATATTCAACAGTTCTGAGTTAGTTTTAGATTGTCATTGTAACATTTCAGGTCGCTTAACAGTCCAGACCAGTGGAAAATCTTCCTCCACTGAAACTATTGAAGGTCTTCAACGACAAGTACATTTTGTACAACATCATACTCAGCCCAATTGAGTTCTTCTTCTTTTGGGGGGAGGGGGGGGAGGGTGGGAGAGGAAGTAGGGCTGGCATTGTCAAGAACACGAAGCTCTGAACGACGAACTTTTTAGGGCGTTTACGAATACTTAGCAAATAAACTAACAAGATTACTGTCGTCAATGTCGGGGCGTAACAAAAACTTTTTCGTAATGGAAACCTAGTCGGATTTGGGAGGAAGTAAAATGCGGAAGTTGACCTTGCAATATGACACAACGTTAGGCTAAAACACCAAAACAAGTCCTCTAGTACCTCAAAAGATTGGAGCTTCAGTTTTCTCCTTATTTCCCTCTTCTTTTATACATTTGTACAGGAATATATGAACTTAATTAGTATTCTGTTCATTCCTGACACACTTTATAAGTTTCTAGCTTCCAACATATTCACAACAGCCAGCTTATTTTTTATGGATCTGAGATTTCCCTTAATTTTGTCTGGACTATAGAAATAGTTGGACAACAACCGCAAACTGCTTAAGATGTTCAAACGACCTCCGCAAATTAACGAGTATGCTACGACAACTTCTAAAGATAACTGGAGGTGTCTAAGACAGTTTAAGAATAATGCGAGAGGGAGATTGCCAAACAAAACCCTGATTATTTTTAACCGCTTATACGCGAACAAAGAAGTAGAATGAATTCATAAAAAGTCAGATGTATAAGTCAGAAGCAAAAATTGCTGAAGTAACAGGAAATCGATCTCAACGGATGAAGTTTAGACAAAATTGGCGAGTATGGATGGGTACCTACATATCAAAAGCAACATCTTAGAATCCTCACGTAAGATCGTGACCAGGAAGTGATTATATTAACTTTAGACTTAAAGCAATCCCTCTTCCCAGAATAAAATTTTTTGCGTCAATTTTAACATCTTAAACAATATCGAGTCGTTAACAGGAGGTTTCGATATATCGATGAGAGTTGCATATCGTTCCTTGGTTTGAAATGCGGTGATAAATATGATGATGATGATGATGATGATGATGCCACCACTGATAACAATACTACTACTTATAATACTACTTCTATTAATGATCATTAAACTTTGATTCTGATAATTTTCTATTATTCTGGGAGTAAAATGGTCATCATGTGTTCCCCAACATCACTATAAGTAAACATTTTTCGACATTTAACAAATGTCATCTCAAAGTGATAAATCTAAAATGGTATATTCTAACATAGACACTCGCAAAAAGAGCCTACCAACAGTGGGCTCAAGTTTTTCAGAAGTGTGCTTTGCAAACAGCTTAGACTTGCCAGCCCGGCTGAGTCCAATTGCAATCACAAAGTATGATGGCCTGGGTGCAAAAAATTCCCTGTAGCAGATTGTTTGATAACACAGCACGGTGTAAATACAGTCTCTTTTTCCTAACGTTATACATGAAAGCCAACTGACCCAACCTCTTGGTACATGCGGCAAATTAAATCCAAGGGGACTGGTTGAATACAATCTTTATAAGCGGGTGGGGGGTGGGGAGAAGGAGGAGGTAGTTTTCAGTCAAGGGGTTATTTCTATACCAATAAAATCTCTCTAGAAAATTAACCTTCACTATAAATATGTGCATCCCATCCTCTGGACAGAAGAGGAAAGAAAAGAAAGACTATACAACCAGTCTCCCGGCCATACTTGCATACTGCTATATATCTCCATGAAAAATAAAACTTTTGGACAACTAATTTGTCTGCCAATGTACGCTATGTAAATTGTTGCTTCATAAAATATAAATGGGCAAAAACACAAAAACAAAACAACAATCACTGGATGTTTGCAATCAAATCTTGAGAAAATTAGATAACATGATATCTTTGATTAAAAGTGATAATCTTCATTTTCCGTCTGATGGATGACACACATTATCACTGTTTATCTCTTAGTTAGTACATGTAATATGACTGGTCAATTTAGCAGGATGTATTTCTTATAGTAGAACATAACACGAACGCGATAAGTAAGAGGAATAGATACAAGAGGAAAGAACTTGGCAAGAGTGAGTTAATTTAGTGCTGTGGACAGACCAAAAACATTTGCTACTCTCGATCTCATTCCAACCCTTTTAATTTTCCTTTCCCATATGTATGACCAGAGATGACCAGTGACAGAGAGGATAACAACAATTTGCTCTACGGGGAGAAATTTCGAAAGAAATGGAAAAAATGTGAAAGGGAGCCAAATTCTCCTTGCATATAGGTGGCATGTAATGAATAAAGGCTGAAGCCAATTATTTATTACAGTGCGGATGGGAAAAATAATAAGCTGTCTTGCCTGCCGAGTAATCGATCTAGATGTTTCATCAAATCATTAACAGAAAGGCTAGTGAATCTTTATTGGTATGTCTCACGTAAGAAGGCTGGTTGTACACGCGAAGAAATACACCTGTTTGTGAAAATGCAAAATTATGAAAACAGATTAAAAGAAAGTTTCGTCTCGTCTCTTACTTTATGTTTTTCAAAATATTGTCAAACTCATTAGATCACGCGAGTTATTCATTTGTTTTAAGCCTGAGCCTTGATAGGAAATGTCTACATGGTCTACTTGCATGAAGCGGAAGCTGGCATATATAGGAAACCCAATTTCCTTAATAAATAGAATGCGCGATAGATACCCTTTGATAGCTTTAGCAGCTCATCGGATAATTTATATAATACATACATTGTTTTAAAGTCAAAAGAAGAGCATTGTAAATTAAACCTTGAAATAAATATTGATAACGTTTAACTTCTCGTGAATTGATCTCGGAGACACCGACTCGTTGAGCGGCAGTTTTGCTCACTTACATGATATCTTTTCTCAATTCGTTAACAACGTTTCTGGATGTGGAGATCCACTTTTAAAATTGAATTGCTTCAAGACCGTAAGTTGATGGAGCTTATCGCTCTGCGTGGATTTTCATCAATATTCCCCTTTAAGTTAAGGTCGCCACTTTAAAAATTAACTTAAAAAGACATTTCAAATATTGAGTGAAGTACTAAGGAAGGATCTCTTGATATCGCGTTAAGTTACGGCGGAAATATTCAAGCGTCTAAAGAGGGCTCTTATAAGAGTTTCCTCAAAGACGTGACACTCTAAATCCAGAAAACATAGTTAGGGTCTACGGAAGTCTTTCATTTACACTACGCCCACAGGATCTTTAGAGCGATCGTTTTGTGGAGCAGTGGTACATTTGTCTTCACTATCCACAGGCACTTTAGGTCTCATCACAACTTCCAGTTCTGCCTCTTCGTCACCCTTCGCGGTTGCTGTATCTTTTTTACCTGATCTCCGTCGACACCAAATTACCAACAGGCCAATTGCGATTATCAGAATTAGGATTGCGACACCATTCAGGACGTTAAGGTACCAGCCGTTTGTATCCTTTTCTTCTTTATCTGTATGAGCTGAGGTAAATTGAAA